TTAGAGACTTCATCGTGCCACTTTTGCTGTCGATTTGTAGCCTTCAACCCTTACTGACTGTAACAGCAGTCATCGACTTTTCAAACTGTGACCACAAGTTGGTCAATAGATTCGCACAATGAAATCACGACCACTCTTCACGGTTATACTTCTGTACTTACGGTTAGTCTGTTAGATATAGATATAACTAGAATTTGACACTAATTAATAGCTGTCAACGACACTGTCCGACTTACAACTTTAAACGAATGACAGTACAAACAAGGACATCGATTGATAATACACTTATCCTACTATCGCTATAGCATCATTACTCTTGCGACGGACTTAACGTTTGTCATCGGAGGAACTGAATTACTTGTCAAGGCTATATATTTTAGCGCGACTTGATGCAACATTAAAACGTTTTGTTCTTTTCATTATTTCTATGGTTAATCAATTTACATTTAAGCAACGTCCTACTAACATATTACGACTCGCTGTTTCCCGACCAGTTTCTGCCGCCTTTCCATTTGTTTTACAGATAAGCAATACCTGAAGGATTTATAATATTCGCTTGGCACTCTCCGGCGCGCGACTGCTCCCAACATGTTTGGTACCGATTCAAACGGCCGCTGAATCTGGTGGGGGAGTATTGTAGGGCCAGTGAAATGTCACTGAGCCCTAGCCAAATCATCCGGCAGTTGGATCACTGAATGTCGAACAAACCATCGCTCCCTGCCAAGGTCATGTACAAGCAACGCGCATTAGTTAATCATACGCCATGGATTGGCCCATGCGGCAGTGGTCTTACTTTCCCCTGTATCTACCTTAACTAATATATTTCTGTAATAACGTCCTTTGTGTTGTACAGTCTTCAAAGCATCTATAGTACCTTGTTACGTCAATGGGGGTAGTCCACGTAAGGTGCTGACCACGAGGTGTGACTTCGACGTTAGTTGGTTCGTCACACTATTCACGTCTAACTCGAGTAGGCCTCCAATCATTTCGACATAGATCATCTACGTTGGTGATCTACACTGGTGAGCAAGACTTCGAATAACGCAACCTATCACTATAATCTTTATTATTGTATTCTATACTTATTCTTTTTCATTTTTATCATCGCCTATGTTAATCTGTTACTGTGAACTTTCGTTGCTTCATGTCAATGTTGATTAGCATTTAAACCTAGATAATTTGTTCAATCGACAGAACTAACCAATCAACTACGATTATAATCGGCTATCGTGGTTCTTTAACAAGCATTAGCAGCATGTAAATGCTCCTGTGTAATATGTCTGTTAAAATATCAACCACTCGTGAGTATAGCCACAAGGCAACACGAACGCATATCTCTTTGTACCTTATCCACTGGTATAAATAAGACAAGATTAACTATCGACTATAAATTCATCTTTCTGCTTAACCACTATCCACTAGAATGTTCTGCTTTTTTTCTTACCACTGCTTGCCTAATTTCCAATTGCTGAGTTCCATGGCCAAACAGAAGATACGAATGCTAGAAATTCACGGTGAGTTTGAACTATAAATTTCCTGCGATCTTAGATCTCGTTTAGACTGTTCGTCAGTCTACAACTCTGTGTTAATCGAAAAATTTAATCAACAGTACCTCGTACATAATCCAGATTCAAACTACTGCCTACTTCATTACTTAAAGGCAAGAATAACCCAGGCGAGTTTCATAATTTCATTAGATTATTTCGTACTATATTTATGATGCGTGATAACATTTCGTAGTTGCTTTCACGTAAACTAGTCATATATTCTGTCACTACCGTCAAGTTTTGGTCGAAATCATGTACATTTATCACTCGTTAGTCGACATACTGTGGCAAAACATATTGCATGTACACGAGCACGCTTAGTCCATGTCCCAAGTACACATGTTGTCGTACTTAATATGTCACTTAACGCTAGGTAATAAGCTCTTTGTATCAGCCTTTTACGAAATGGCCACGTTACCTGGACCCTCTAAACCTTAGTTACAATGGTGGTTACCATTTTAATTAATGTTTATTATACCCCTTGTATTTGCTAATAATTCACACGGTAAATCATGGCTCGATTTCCTTATTACACGACAGTCATTTTAATTCTATTTTCGGTTTATTTACATGCGATACGGGTTTGGAAAATATCTAAACGTCCTCGAAAATTCTCCACGAACCCAACCATAGTTTTCGTATATGTTTTTATTCACACATCCAACTGTTACGCTAATCATACCTAAGCGAACGTTCAGTGCAACTGTCAGTATACGTAAGAACGATGTTATTTAGACTTGACACTGTAACACATCTGAACTATTGTAGTTGTTCTACTTCGATGTCGTGCTTCATTTTATGAAGTATTGTTTCATCGTGGCTGTTGTTTAACAGATGATTCCGGTACATCAATCCGCTGTTCAACTACTCGACGATTTACAACCTGTCCAGTTCAATTGGTGGTCTGACGACAATATCATTCGCGCGAATCATCAGTTTATGCAGTCGAGCGAATCTCCTGCAAACTGAAAACGATATTGTCGCCTCTATCCCAACACTGACAGCGTTTTTCACGGGTATCATTGACATGAGTTCAGAGTGAAACTCTTGGTTTCTAATGCTCTTTTCGATATTTTTCTGTTTACTAACCGAACAAACACGCAGCATTCACCGTTTATCATCTTTTAGAGACTTCATCGTGCCACTTTTGCTGTCGATTTGTAGCCTTCAACCCTTACTGACTGTAACAGCAGTCATCGACTTTTCAAACTGTGACCACAAGTTGGTCAATAGATTCGCACAATGAAATCACGACCACTCTTCACGGTTATACTTCTGTACTTACGGTTAGTCTGTTAGATATAGATATAACTAGAATTTGACACTAATTAATAGCTGTCAACGACACTGTCCGACTTACAACTTTAAACGAATGACAGTACAAACAAGGACATCGATTGATAATACACTTATCCTACTATCGCTATAGCATCATTACTCTTGCGACGGACTTAACGTTTGTCATCGGAGGAACTGAATTACTTGTCAAGGCTATATATTTTAGCGCGACTTGATGCAACATTAAAACGTTTTGTTCTTTTCATTATTTCTATGGTTAATCAATTTACATTTAAGCAACGTCCTACTAACATATTACGACTCGCTGTTTCCCGACCAGTTTCTGCCGCCTTTCCATTTGTTTTACAGATAAGCAATACCTGAAGGATTTATAATATTCGCTTGGCACTCTCCGGCGCGCGACTGCTCCCAACATGTTTGGTACCGATTCAAACGGCCGCTGAATCTGGTGGGGGAGTATTGTAGGGCCAGTGAAATGTCACTGAGCCCTAGCCAAATCATCCGGCAGTTGGATCACTGAATGTCGAACAAACCATCGCTCCCTGCCAAGGTCATGTACAAGCAACGCGCATTAGTTAATCATACGCCATGGATTGGCCCATGCGGCAGTGGTCTTACTTTCCCCTGTATCTACCTTAACTAATATATTTCTGTAATAACGTCCTTTGTGTTGTACAGTCTTCAAAGCATCTATAGTACCTTGTTACGTCAATGGGGGTAGTCCACGTAAGGTGCTGACCACGAGGTGTGACTTCGACGTTAGTTGGTTCGTCACACTATTCACGTCTAACTCGAGTAGGCCTCCAATCATTTCGACATAGATCATCTACGTTGGTGATCTACAGCCGCCTTAAATCACTAAATCTTCACTTATTAGAGTACAGGCGTGTTATAGGTTACCTTCTAATGACTAATATTGTTCTAAACACTTCTGAGTATCCTCAATAACACCCACTTAAGCTTAGCCACAACACAAACATTAGGAATAACATCCAGAAACTGGAGACACAATACAGCTGATTGAACTATAGGCACAGAATCTAAAACAAAGTTCAAATGGTTCAAATGGTTGTGGACGGAATAGAAGAAGCTTTCGCTTAACAGGATTCCGTGTCTAGTAGCAGGGGATCACCAAATCCTCCAGGCAGAAACTTAGGTATGTTAACAATAAAAGAGGAAAAGAAATTAGTAAATCATAGTGCGATACTATCCTTAGTCCTCAAGAATCGATCAAGTTGCCTCTTAAAGGACTCCTGGGAAGTCGCTTGGACTAGCTCGCTCGGCAGCGCATTCCAGCATTTGACAACTCTTAAGGAGTAGAAGTTATGTCTATAGTCCGTTCTGCTTTGTTGTGTCTCCAGTTTTTGGGTGTTACCTCCTGGGTTAGTGTTGGAACTAAGCTTAAGAAGGTGTTTGAGGGGATGTCCAGAAGTGTTAAGGATACTATAAGCCATCAGAAAGTCACCTCTAAGACATCTATACTCTAATGGGTAAAGATTAAGTGAATGGAGGCGGTCTTCTTAAGGTTTAAATTTGAGTCCTCGAACTGATTTCGTGGCTCACCGTTGGATACGCTCCAGGGTATCCTTATCCTTTTGCGATGAGGGGGGAAATACTATGTTTCCATACTCTAAATGGGGACGGATAAATTTATTGAAGATTACACGGAAAGTTCTTCCGTCAAACTGGCCAAAAATGCGCTTCAATGTTACCAGTGAAAGGTTTGCTCGGAAGGCATTTTTGTCACAGTTAGCGTAAGACTTTAAATCGTAGGGCACCAGGACTCCTAAATCTTTTCCGACTTGGGATACTACTAGAGAGGAGGTACCTAAGTTATAACTGTAGTCTGAGACATGTCGCAGATGGACTACTTTACACTTTGAAGTGTTAAAAGTAAGTCCGTTATCGCCTGCCCAACTTTGAAGTCGAGTCAGATCCTCCTGAAATGCCAGTATATCGTCTTGGTTGCGTATCTCTCTCCAAAGTTGTTACAACACAATACCAGAAGTTAAAACTACGCATCCAAAAACATACTAATGAGAAGGGAAATAAAACAGAGAAATATCTATCTCTAATCATTTGAGCTTAAACTATCGTCTTGACTTTGAAAATATAGAGGCGGTCACTATATGTAAGTCGTAACTGGTCGAGGTCATGAATGTTGTTAAGATAAATGGCGTGAAGGTTTACAATCTAACAGCGAATCGTTCCCTTCCAGAATGGGCCTCTAAGTCTGAAAAGCGTAAAAGGAAGTCAGATATGGAATTAAGTCGGCGCATTGAACTTATTCAGGAATTAGAAATGCCCGATTCAACCACTTATTTAACTTGCTCACCAGATGGTCAGTACTTGTTCGCTCTAGGACGTTATAAACCTAGAGTCAAATGTTACGAACTGTCAAATCTTTCAATGAAGTTTGATCGATGTCTTGACTGTATGCCATATAAAATGGTGTGCCTTAGTGACAACTACTCCAAGTTTGCCTTACTGGAGGAAGAAAGATGGGTTGAAATTCATGCTGCTGGGGGACACCACTTCAAGTTTAGAGTTCCGAAACAAGGTGTGGATTTGGATTATTGTCCTTACACGTGTGATCTTTTTGTTGCCTCATCTCGCAACCATATATACCGAATGGATTTGTCCGAAGGTCGTTTCAAAACATCTCTAGTCTCCCAACGTTTAGAAAACTCTAGTCATGGATTAACGGTATGTAGCTTTGAGAGAAATTATGGTTTGTTACTTGGTGCGTCGACAATAGGGTGTGTTGATGGTTGGGATACTAGAACTTCTGAGCATGTATTTGGTCTGAACGTATGTGAATACGCGCCTACACCAGAAGATATCCAGAATAAATGGCGATCAACTGCTGTAACTTGCCTGTCATTTAAAGACTCGCTCAACGTCGCAATAGGCACGGGAGACGGGATGGTATACATATACGACCTTCGTCAAAATCGTAAGCCATGGCACGTCCGGGACACAGAATACAGAGAGCCTATCAAATCCATTCATTTTCATGATGACAAAGTGTTAGCAGCCCTGCGCTACTGCTGTAAAATATGGTCAGTGGATACTGGCAAGATATTTGTTGGTTTCAATATTGGTCCTTCAGATTGTAATTCTATGTATCACTTTCCTAACAGTGGATTACTCATGTTTGCATCAGAGTCTCCCAAGATTTCTACCTACTTTATCCCACTGCTTGGAGAGGCACCTTTCTGGTGCAGTTATTTAGACAGTCTTGTGGTCGAATGCGAACCAGATGTTACAACTATGTATGACGGTTATAAATTCATCACTCGTCAACAGTTAGCAGATTTGGGAATGTCAGAGCTCATTGGAACTCAATTTTTGAGAGCTTACATGCATGGATATTTCATTTCTGCAAATCTGTACAACAAAATACAAGATCATCTGGGGATTAATCAGAAATCCCTTACCCAAACAGTCAAGCTTAACTATCCTGACAATGTACCTAAAACTTCGTCGCGTTCTGAAAATATAATTGCAGAGTTTAACGAAGCCTCAGCCGACCAGCGCTTTTCCAAACTCTCAGATAATCCTAAGCTTACATACAGTACTGTAGATGGCGATTCAGATCTCATACAAATTCATCAAGCAAGATTGGAAAAGAAGCGCAGGCGTAAAGAACTGCGGAAAGAACGAGCTGCTCGAACACAGGCTTTGGTTAATAAAGCCTCTGATGTGCATGTATAAACCTCAAATGTTTTGTATGTAATTGTGTAAATAATCTCTGCAATAAGTTATGTTCTCAAAATTTTTCCGTGTTATTAGTTGTATTTAGTTCGCCTCATATATTTTTCAGCATGAATCGAGGTCGACGTCGTGGTGGCGGTCCGAACTTATCAGGTCTTCGTGATGGTGTGAAACGTCGTCTATTTGATCCCCACTCTGTTCCTACCAAACCTGATCCTAAGTTCGAGGTCAGCCGTTTGATACCTTTCTCCGTCCCTAAGGTTACCATTAACTCATCTTTAAGCGATTCCAGCGCTAACAACAATCCAGACGTAGTAAAAGATGATATCGATAGTTTACAGATAAATTTGGTATGTATAAAATTGCTAGATCACTTCCATGTTCTTACATGTAATTGTAAAACCTCCAGTTGTTTGTCGGATGTAATATTTATGTTCACATATCAACATGTGTTCTGTCATTCGTGGAGTAGTTTGTTCTCGATACGTGAATTACTCATCTTTGGTTCCTAGTCTCATTGTTACATGGTTGTATGTTCCGTACCAACCTTAAAATAAATTTGTGCTCACAACTGTTATTCATGAGGAGATAGTCTTCAGTTATGTTAGCAAACAACAGTTCTCTTACCCTTTTGATGATTGCAGTTCGTAGTCAAAACTAATTAACAACCTTCCTTTCATTAGTATTGTATGATGGTTATGTTATGACCTGGGAACTGCCTATATTTTAATGTCAGAATGCTTAATGTCGGTGATGTAAACATTGGAAGGACCGATAACACCATGTGGGCTTTTATCATCATTGCTGAAACTGCACGTATTATTCTTTGCCTGAGTAGTCCTTAAACATACGTATAAAGAATTAAAATGTCTTCAGATTCAGATGTCGGTTCTGGTTTAGCCCATCATTTTTAGATCAAGATTTATCATATAACACGAAGAAAACTATCTCTTAGTTTTATGAATATCTTAGTTCATAATTCAGGGTGACCATCCTCAGCAGTTCGTGTGTGCAAACTCTCAGATATTTGTGCTCGAGTGTGCTGTATATTTGCCATAGACTTAAAATCATTGGTCTGTTTAGACAGTCAGAGTGGTTAGATACTGGATAATTTTGGAACTAGTTTTATACCTCCTGTTGATCGCCACTATTTATTTTAGGATTATAGGGTGAACTGGTTGATTTACTTAAGTTCTAATTGTACCCATTCGATTGAATCCATTGTAATTTGTTAGTGACCAATGACTTTTCAGCAGAGATGTATAGGGCTTGGATATCTTTTATGAGACATCCCGGTATATCAGTGAGGAACTGAATTTAGTGTAGAAGAGAAATTTGGCATTCAGAATTAAAATGGATGAAAAAGTTACAAATAACTTGTTTAGTAATCATGAGAAGCTTGCTGAGTTCAGGGGACGAACTAAATGAGAATGCTATCATCCACCAAAAGAGATAACTGCTTGAGATCTATAGCAGTTGCACAGAGGTACCCGTATGGGATTTCAGTATATTTAGTAGGTTTATATGCAGTAAAATCTTAGCTGCACTTAGTCTAATTGGTGCTTGGTTAGAATTTATCAGACGGTAGGACGTTAGGGAACGCTCACTGATTAATATAGCTCAAATGTATCACTGCAGTAAACAAGTCATCGCAATGTAAAGGTAGTAGCTGTTTGTTGAGAATCAGTGATGTAATTAAATTATACGGCAGTCCCTTTTAACTCATAAAAACACTCCTTGGGGAACACTTGATAGCATTTCAACTGATTTGCTACTTAAGTGAGATTAATTTATCAGTCCTGGCTTGGCATCAGTTCATTAAGTAATTAACATCTTATTTGAGTCTTAAGCAACGGCTCTAAATCTGTTGCAGTGTAGTATATACATATTTCCTTTATCTTGAAATTCCAGATCTTAATATTATTCTGTACCTCCTGTTTCTCGACTTTACTTACTATTTTCGAATAATCTTTCTACTGCCTTAAAGGCTACCATTATTTCTACGTCTCATGCTAGTAGTTTCCTCTTCTACTGATCTAATGTAGTGCTTGAGCTATACTGATGCACATTTATGCTTGGTCAGTCATTCTTTACTGAATGACTAATCTGTATTTCGTAGTCCATCAGTTTAGATCTACCTATGGAATGCGTAGTCAAGAAAATCAGTGCATTAAGATTTCTGGTTTTAATCACACACTTTAACTATTCTCAGGGTTAGGGATGAACTAATTAAGTCTTCTGCGATGATAAGACGCTGAATGTTCCATTGCCATGTAATGATAACGTACTCATGACCATCCATATACCTCAATCAATTTTTTTGAACTGCTCTCTTACTACGCAGACTATGAGAAACAGGAAAATGATTTGGTTCATCTGATTCTGTGGTTAGTTGTTTGGTCAATGTTTATACTTTCTTAAGCGCCTGATAGCAGTCGTATATATTTCGAGTCCGGTCATATTTTGTCAGGACCTTGTACTTTTGATACAGTTGTATCCTGAAATTGTTCTCTATGGTAGGGTTTTGTTGTGCATTATTTTAACATGTCGGAGGCTCTTTGCACAAATACGTTTGATTACGGTATGTAGCTACCTTCTTATCATCGTTAAAAACCAAAAATAAAGTTAAAGTTAGTCAGTTACTCTATTACTTTTGATAGGCCGCTTTTCTGAGATAACTTTTAAAGAAGTGCTTTAGTGTTGTTTTATTACCCATATCCATTTGTTTTCGAATACGAGAATGATTTGATGTTGCCGTATGCTTGTACATATTCTTACCATTGTGTGACATGTTACTTAAGATCGACTCATGTACTCGGAACTAGAAACAATAACATTAGTGTAGATAGTGTACGTCTACAAAACATTGGTTTTCATATGGTAGAACCCACAATATCCAAGTACTAACGAAAACTCTTCGATTTCCGTTACTAAGTGATCCATTTAACAGTTTGATCCCTTAACTCACTCCATACAGGGTCAATTCCCAATGCTCTCAACCACTAACAGTATTCGAATTCATCCATCTGTTTTGTACACATGACAGTCTACCAAACGGCTGTTTCAACTAGTCTAGTCAGTAGTTGTGGATGTTGATAATCGTTTTATGAACACCTTTGGTGACAACCTTGTATTTCATATGTATATAAAAGAACACTACTAAATATTGCTTTATGATTAGACTTTGATTACTTCTGTATCATACTTTCTTATAAATTCAGCTACAAACCCAAGACATACTTTGTCCACATTTATAAATCTTCAAAAAACCTCTGGAATTCCTTGTTAACTGAAGACTTTTTGTGTTGATTAGCTACGTAAATATCTCACTTAAAGTCGAGATTAAAAGTTAAAGAATAAGTGACTTTTAATTGCTAGAATTCTCTGACGTTCGTTTTCTAGGTAACTATACTCAAAGGTTTATGTATTGGTGAGACTTTAAGGAACAGAGCAAATTGTAACTAGAAATTAGTAAACCTTCCGTAGAAGTGTACGCATGTTTACTCGTGTAAGTACAATAATTTAGTTATAGCGAGACCTTCGGATTATAGATATATTTTATGATTGAAGTATACAGTGACAAATTCGATAATGCATTTTGAAATATACTGTGTTATATAAAATTTTGTCTTATCTTGTTAATTTAGTTTGAAATAACGGCCAAAATGGAAGCTGCATTTCGTTCTGGTCCATTTTATCACTCAGTTCCAGAGCTATCAGAAGGAATCGATGTATCGTCTTTATTATCCAGTAACAGCTTAAATCTCAGAAAAAAATCACAAAATATGGTATCTCTTTTACATCTTCTGGTCTCTCATGAAATTAATCAGTGGTCTGACGAAGATATGAACATAAAAGAGCCTGAGGATTTGTAAGTTCTCTACTCATAAAACCTAACTGCGATTACACTGAAAATTTTGTTTATTTTTACCATGTCCTTATACCGTCAAATTGATAACGGAGAATTCCAAATACCAATAACAATAAGTGATATTTTTCGAGGTTAAGTTCTTGTTATAGCTTTATAGCACAGTGTTTGAAGCAAACGGTGTTAGGTTAGAGTCTCACTGAACATATCTACATTTACTGGAATTCAGGTAACTTTAGCATTGGCTTGAAGGAAATGCAAACTCGAGATTGTACTGTGATAATTAATACTGAGCAAATCCTTGTCCATACTGAGTTAGTAACCAACGATTGGAATGTTCCACTTTATTTAGAAGTGTTTTCTTTTTAAAATTCACAAAGTTGCTGTAGCCAACTTGTGGCTTGAATATTATCTTTTATGTTTGAACTTCGATGATGCATATATGAAACTTGGTCAGTTATTCTCTCGTACTTACTCAGGAGTAGCTTAAGTATCATCAACAGTTGATTGACCTTTGAAAGTTATCAGTCTTATAGTCCCGAACAAGATTTTGTTAATTAAGTTTGATCAATTGAAAGTGTAAGTCTGGTAGTTTATTTAAATTCTGCCGATTAATGGTGCTGTAATATGCTTTGTACGTTGAATACTAAGCTGTGACATAACTTTAGTTGTGTAGAAATTGTCAGTTAACTGCATAATTAGATCAGTATTTCGAACGAACTAACGTTATTATTTTGTATTTAGCTGGAAAAAACTACAAAATACGATCAATTCATCATATTCTGGGAATATTCGATAAAATCCTATTATTGTTTATTTTGGTTTGTTGTTTTGTTCCCACAGTCTTAATAATAATGCATCTTGTGGTGCTCTGTTCCATTATTACTCTAAAATATCCTGAAAATAATAAAAACTGTAAAGCCTAGATGTCTATGAACTTTTCTGATATATATATATATAATTGGTGAAATATAAACAAGTAGTATCTCGCTTACTTTTATCGTACGTATGTCGTTCTCTGACTTTGTTTATCTTCAGCTATCCCAAAGAACTGATTTCTCGAACCCGAATCAATTTAAAAAGTAATAGGCGTGCCACGCAAAAATCAAAATTGGCTTCTCGACGTAGTAAGCAGAATTACTGCGATATTGGTCAAGTTATAACTGACAGTTTTATCCAACAAGTCACTGAAACTCTCCCAGAAAATGACGGTACGTTGTATCTTTGTTTATATAAAGCGATAAGTTTAAGTTGTTGCTAAAATAGGTTAGTTACACGTTTTTCGGTTAGGATTATTCATTGTATGCTTCAAATTCTTCATTCACTATATTCCAGAAGTTTTAATGAGTGGAAAAAATAACTTTAGAAATGATTTTGATCTTAATCTTAATATATCCAAAATGGCTATGTAGTTACGAAAGTGAAATGTGCTTACAATAAAAAAAATTCATTCTTTACCAGTCTTTAGGATTCAACTGTAGCCTCTTATATTTTTACTTGATAGTCAGTCCTGATTTCCGATAAAGAGACTTAATCAAAAAGCGTTAAACATGTATTTTATTCTTTCCAGTATTCTGAAGTAGCACTATTAGTGCAGCTAAAAAGCTTGTAACTCATTTTCATTTACATCTGTTAGTCACTCAAATCACCTATAGAATGATTTCATCGCTGATACAAGACATCGATAACTGGAAAAAATATCAGGTAGTTTATACGAGTCGATAATTCTTGAATGTAGTCGTCCCTGCGACTACATCAACCAACGATGATCTCCCCTTTTCTTCAGTCCCAACTTTCGTAAAAGGAGTAGTCAAATTTTGAACAGAGGATTTATTTGAGTCAATTAAGGAATTGACTTTGGAGACAACTATTACATATCAATATACTTACAATATCTCTCGAAGTAGGACGAAACAGGACTTGTCAAAATATTAACGAACTAATTCTAATAGAAAAATCCTCGACCGTTGGAATTATGAAGAGTGCGAGGCGTGAGGAATTTCATTTCACAAATTGATTCAAAATTGCCAGAAACAACAAAGTAGCTTGCATTGTAAGCAATTTTGGGAGAATCAGAGTATTCCTGGCAATTTTTTTTTTTAAAGCCCGTTTATAAAATATCTATAGATTTTTCTGGATGTAAACTGTTCACCATTTTCAGCTATCAAACCATCATTTTCTCCATAATTCCACCTCCAAGAATGCAGATTTTCACTATTATTTATTATTTCGGTTAAAAGATATCTCTTCTTAGTTAACTGAACTGCAGAGGTCACTTACTCTTATCTGTTACTACCTAGCACACTACGTGAGATTATTTCTTTGTTATATGACTCTATATATGTGTTATTAGATAGTCTGTAGTGATGAAATGACTCGAGACATTTAACTTCAAATGGTAAGGGCATTAGGTGATAGATCACTCCTTAATTTACGACTCATAACGACCCCTGTTAGCATGAGACAGTTCTTCATTCTCTAGCTATTTTTGACTTGCTCATGTCCCAAATTCTGATTTCATATACCCAGCTTTGAGCCATACTTTAGTTGTTTGAGAGCTAGAATACTACTTGTCTGCCCAAGGCGAAGTAGATGGAGCTGGTTAATCAGTTGATGAGGTTGTAAATCTTCAATGACTGGGATGGTTGGGCTTCGTGTTACGTATGCCTGAACACTGATTACCACGACGCGCAATGCTGACTAGTGTTGGAGGAAGTTGGGACAAAGTTAGGGGCGGCCGAAGGACAACGTGGCACCAGTCTGTGAAGTCACTAACTTCTAGTCCGAGCTATGTTAGTAGATGCAGACTACTTGGTTGTGGTCCACGTGACTATCGTAACCAATGGTTGGAGACTCTTGGTGATATGGCTCAGAATCGATCACAATGGCGTCGGTGTATACACTATTTGTCTTCCCTTGAACTGTGAGATCAAAATTACTGTATAACTTTCTTTCTACGGACTAATTCTTTCTTCCTGTACTATATCCTTATACACAATCTTTCTTTTATATATTGTTACTATTGAAGTGACTACTATGAATTTGGTATTCACCTTGTTGTGCTAATGAGGTATAGCAACTTCGATCGATGCATATATGTGCCTGGTTCAACCTTGTAGCTGACTGACTGATTGACTACTACCTACCGTGTGATAAACAAGTGCCTATTATGCTATGACACTACTCAGTGATTGATCAGTTTAATTATAAGGTATTTGTATGATAATCATCCATAGATTTAAATAGTCAGGCAACAGTATACAGGTTAGTAACCCCCAAAAAGTACTGAATGATATGTGACAAAAATAATGATGTCACCAAAAACGCTTATAAATTTTATTATCGGGTAATACTATATAGTAACTGCTTCTAAACAATTCAGTAATATATATTAATCTTCTAAAATGTAACTATCCCATTTTCGGTTTTTGTCATCATTGTAGAAGATGTAGAGAAAATCGATGTAAATAATAGTGAAAATGAAGATGCAGATTCAGAAGATGCTCGGTGGAATGGTGATGTTAATCAAAATGATGAAATTGATGAACTTGATGATGATGAATTTGATAATGATTATTGTCAAGAATATTTCGACAATGGTGAAAAAGATTTTAGTGATGATGGTCTAGGTGGTGATGATGATGGAGGAGGTGCTAAATATTATGAATGACAAATTTCTTTAAAAAATTTTTCTCTTTGTTTATATGAAACAATTTATTCTTTATATATAGATGCATGTTAAATAACACTACTTTCACATTGCATTATTTCCAAAAGGTCAATTACGATTGTATATTTCTAGATTTTTTCATATGTACCATTTGTAAAAATCAAAAGAGATTTTCAAGAAATCATACATTGACAAACTATCTATATGATTTATTTTTTTAGTCACAACATGTCGTTATCGACTTGTATAACCTTAATAATACTAAGTACTTTCTAGTGCATTTCCAGTGTGATGGTTTCAATATTGGTTTTTAAGGACTAAACATCAGTAATGTGCTACTTTTAGCAACAGTTATGCAGTGAGTTTTGTGCTAGTTAAGAATTTTGTATTTTCAATTCATCTTTTTTAATGCGATCAAGTCCGGTCTTTAATACAACAAATGCGCACTACTCTTTTTAGCCCGTATTTCAATTACATTACTTCAGTCTCTAAATTATACCACTAGGACTGCATTTTTAAAACACTAGATATGATTCATTGTGATTGGCACTTTACTTATTATAAGCAGGGACAATAAAGTGAAATAAGTTATTTAGTGGTAATACTTGTACGATTGGTAATTTGGAATGAATCTCGTCATAGGCTTTTTCACAAAGAGTATGAGCGAAATTGATTCGGGACACACTTATAACAATGAACTGTTCATGAGTATTTACACAAAATTACAGGGCATGTTAATAAAATCTAACAATCATAAAGTAAATGCTTAATTTGCAAAATGTCCATCGATCGTCTCAAAATGACTCAGAATTCATTGCTCTTTTATTTTCGTACAAATCGCATTCCCTTTCCATTCTTTACTGTTCGATCCTCTTGTCTCTCTGGTTCCATACTTTCCGTTCACAACTAACATCATATACTACTTATGTTAATATAAGTAGCACACATCACAATATCTGCGCTTGAATAATATCTAGTCCAACCCAAGGTGAAGTAAAATAGGATAATCTTTCAGCAACAAATTTATTAGATTCATGTGTCAATGAAAAGCCTTGATATTGAAACAATCAGTGATTTATCTTGTTAGTGTGTTAGTTACAACGATAGTAGTGAATCTGTGTCTGAAGCACTTTCAAAGTTGCTTGCTGAATGAGAAAGATAATAGCCAGTTTAATTAATATTTCATGATGTAATACATAAACTTGCATCGAAATTTGAGTTTAATCCAAACAAAAGTGCTAATCCGATTAATAATGAGTTTATTGTTATCAATATCAAGGTCAACTTCAAGTAAACTGAGTATTATGCAGAGAGTTAACAATAAATATATTTTTTGAAGAAGTGGCTTACAATAAATCACGAAACTTCAGAGGTACAATTTTTCTACTTATTGGAATAATACAAAATATATATTTATTAAAATCGTTAATCTTGTATTGTCAATGCCACAGTATAAGAATTTGTACATTTTTTGTACAACTAATTGAACTGTTATCATTGTAACTCGTGATTAACCCTTTGAGATTCAGTGTACACCGCTAGTAATATTATGTTTATTTTCAGTGCAGAACTATATAATTATTTTTTAAAGAACTATGTTCAGTAATTTACTGGAATATAGTGTACAACTATAGTCTATATCTCTGTAACTATTGAAAATCTTATAAAGGAGCAATGATTTTGGTGGTCTTGTTAGAACCAATAATACATAGTGATTCCATACAAAATTATTTCATCTCACGCTAAGGAACCAAACAACTGTGATATACAATCTACAAATTAATTTCTATGGAACTAATAAATTACACAGATCAGATATAGAATAGTAATTAATGTCATGTTATTTATTTACTTATTTTTTTTTTCATTTAGTCTAATTCAATCAATCAAGTTATAAAAATTTGGATTGAAATCCTGATTTACGCTTTAAGTAGTATTTGAACTATTATAAACATATGATTAATTAGGTCATGAACGTTTTCTTCCCATTATGACTAATTTTCAATAAACTTTCGATAAATAGTGTAATTAATTCTATAATAAAAGCTAACTTTCAGTTTATAAACTTATATAATAATGAAATTTATTTTTCCTGTTAGTTTTTGAGATGATGGGAATCAACTTTGGTCATACATATGTTAACTGACTGTACATTAAAATATGACGATAAATAACAAAAGCTAAGGTTATTTTGAATCTTATATATATGTCAAACACTGTCCTGAACAATCATTTCTACTTCTTTCCAGTTGTCATTCATTTTTCTAATGTCTACTTCCAAGTTCCAGCGCAATGTATTACTTGGTCTTCCTCCTTTCAGTTTCCTTTCAAGATTCCAACTTAGTGCTTGCTTACCCACTTCCAACGTCTTTTCCTAACTTCTTCAGTTGGAAGTTCGTTTTTTCACTGCCACAGTAGGTCAACGAACGCTGATTACTTTATGTATACAATTTTTTATAAATACATGTACCTTTTTGATGATGGTTGTTGTATTTCTCCTAGTTTATCTCCACACAGTAGAACTGTTTGGACTCTGTTTGTAGCTCTTCTAGAGTTATTGCCGGTTTCAAGCTAGTGTAAAGAAGGTTGGTTAGGCATTGGTCAGCAACTCCATCTCGTATGAAAAAAACTTGCTATGGTTAACCAGATATCTTACTTATTTCATTGTTTTCCGTTGTATGATGAACAGAAGCTAAACACACTAATGTGTAACAAACATAACTACTGTCCTTGAAAGACGTTAATTGGGACATAATTAAAATCTTAAAAACTCAATGCTCTTACCCATTCATAACATACTGACCATTTTTCTTCCAAACAAATCGTATAAAGAAACTGAGAATAAATCTTAGGAGTCTATAACATTTTTAGTCAAATTGTACTTAATAACACTAACAGAACTAACATAACAGTGATTAGTGTGTCAGGATGTTTTCTTGTAACTAAGGTAATGTTATATAACATGTATTTCTTTTCTATAAACTAGCAAATTCAAGTTCGTTAGTTATTCATCAACGTCGAAAATTTACAACAACTAGGTGATCTATCTCTACCATTAATGTACCAAAATCAAGACATATATATGGAAATGAAAATAATTATTAAAGTTAATTATTTTAAAAACACTTAAATCTATACAAATTTTGTAAATCATAATGTTTTCAAATGATGATATAAGCAATATCATCTCACATATAAATGACATAACAACATTTAAGTGATGAATTCTAAGAGAGATGAACTCTGTACAACATAACACTATGATGATTGTTCAACAACTTAGCGATTGTTTGAATATATTTTAATGAAGTTTATCAATTAAAATAACATAAATTGATTCACTCTATTAAACATTAAACGAAATTAAAACAAAAAAATATCTGATTTAAAAATTCAGCGAAACAAGCGTATAAGTTTAGTTGAATGATTACTTACCAGAATGATTTTAGTAATATTGGTTAGTAAATTCTATATTTAATCTTATCTAAAATAATTGCAATATCCTATATCATTCATTATATATATATATACCCAAAAGTGATGTAATTGATGTAATACAATACATGGGCATTAACTAATAATTTCAGAGAATGAAATATGAACTGTTTAATACTACTTTATAAATTAGAATATGTACAAAAAACAAGAATAAAATACAAGTTATGATATAAAATGATTTTAAATGGATTTTGTATGGCTTATGATACATAAATCCAAATCCTTTTTATTATATATACATAGTTCCCTTTATCATTTTGAAAAGAGCAAGAACAAAGATTCTAACAGAGTAGCATGAATTCATTTTATTTCGTAGGTTCTCATCAGCTGCTAACAACCTGTGATATTTAAAAATCATAATTACATAATGGGTTTAAATTGCTTACTGAATATTGTAAATATAGACCTAATGTGAAAGAATATTCTACAACATTAATTGTGGCAACAGTTCAAAAGTGGGTTAGAAACAATCGATTACATGATAAATAAACATTAATAGGAATATAGTGAGTAGGGTTCAAATGAAAGATTATTAATTTGAAAGATAGTTTAAAAAATGAAATAGAATCAATGATGTAATAAATAAAAAAAATTTTTTTAAGGTGCAGCGAAAGAATATTTGTCACCAAGGCAAGGAAAGATTGACTACCGTCTCCTTTTGAATATATAGATCAGGTTTCTGACGCCTAATGGCAACGGCTTCAGCAAACCTCAGAAGATTGGAGTTTGGATACTTACTAATCACTTTAAAGAATTGTAAGGTATCTACCTGATGTCCACTATCAAGGAGATGTTTGGTGATTGCACTATTCAGAGTCTTTCTTTGCCTTGTTCTAAGACTTTTTGGAACATGTTCAAAAAATATAAGATATGCTCTCCTTTTTATTAAAAAAATAACAACAACATAATGCATATATCAAAAGTTATCATAATTGTTAATGTTCCCAAATGAATATATTTCCAAAGTTATGGAATAGGTCGAAACTATGATTGATGAACATTCATGATAGGGTGTAATAATAAAACTTGAGAGATAAGTGATTTTCTGTATATTCACTCTTAAACTTTTACAAGCACTATTAGAATCATAAGTAAACTGTTGTCATTTCAACTAGTTAATCATTCAAATTGTATTTGTTTTTTTTCAGATTGTTTTACTCTAGAAATATTACAAAAATCTTGCTTTTGTACAAATAATATTTTAATGCTTGGTATACTTGAAACTATTATATCTAAACATTTAGATGTACATACCAAATAATGTTTTACGGTTTGTTCATTCTATTGATAGCTATTTTAACTCAGTCTTTAATAGGTGATTGTCAGGGAATATCGTCAAATTCATAAAATTAACAAATAAAATAATCAAGTTATATGATATTACTGTTCTTATTTATGTAAACATACTTTCATCACTTTCATAATTTAATAACAATAATGAATGAGGCTGAAAAATTACTAATTATGTAAAACTTTATCTCAGTAAAATATGAACATGTACA